ATATGAGTCTACAAGGAAAGCCTCATCAAGTCTGAAAAAAAGAAAACTAATCCATACATCATTCTACGCTCACTATGTTACATAAATGAATATTAATTTAATATTAAAACTAAGGGGGGATGCCCGTGTCACCTGAAAAATTTTTATTATTCTCATTTTTTTAAAGATTTATTTTATTTATGCATACAAGAGCTGGGGTATAGGCCAGAGATGTGGGGGGTGAGAAGAGTCACCAGAGACAGAGTGGGGAGCAGAACAGGTGGATCTACTGAAATACACTGCTGAGGAGAGCAGCGGATGAGACAGGAGAGGTCTGCTGCTCCATGTGTGTCAGCTCCCTGGCTGGGGATTTTTTTTTTTTTTAAATATTTATTTATTTATTTATTTATGCAAGCACTGGGCACAGTCAGAGGCACAGGAGGGTGAGAGAATTCACCAGAGCCAGAGAGGGGAGCAGAGCAGGCAGAAGGACCGAAGTACACTGCTGAGGGGAGCAGCGGGCGGCAGGAGAGGTCTGCGCGCCATGTGGGACCCTCCTCCGGTGGCTGGGGAGCAGCCGGGGATCGAACCGGCGCTGCAGAGGCTGCGGGCAGCTTCGCAACCCAGCGCTCAACCGCTGCGCCACCGAGGAGGCCCTCTGGCTGGGGATTGAACTCGTGCTGCAGTGGCTGTGGATTGCTTCATAGTGCTGAGACTTAACCCCTTGCACCACCAGGGAGGCCCTTTATTGTTCTCTTTTAAAAGAAATTCTAGAGTCGATAAATGCAAATTAAAATACAGAACAGTTAGAAAATAATAAGAACACAATAGTTCAGAATCTATGAGGTATAGCTAACAATGTTCTTAGGAACCATTTTTTAACTACAGTCAATAGAAATTAAAATAAGAAAGTATCCAACTGAATACGTTGATAAAAAAAATAACAATATAGTAGGAAGAGAAGTTGAAGAAGGACTCAACAGACACAATAAGGAACTGACATAGAAAACTAAAAAAAAAAAGTAGTAGAGAAAATGGGAACAAATGGATGCTTCTTTAATGTGAAAAAAATATATTTATGTTAATCCAAAAGTCCAAATTAAGCTTTATGGGGAAAAAAAGACACTCACTGAAGTGATCATTTTACTTTAAGGTGTTAATGGTGTGTGTGTCACAAGGAGCGTTTCTCCACTGCCCAGGAGACTGGCAAGCCAGTACTAAGCCCCACCTCTCTTTCTGCCTACTACCAACCTGCCAGCTCCCAGCCCTTCCCACAGAGCATCAGTGGACACGGGCAGTGCTTTGCTAAGACCCCTTTAAAAGCTTTAAATGCTTCACTCCGTCCATGCTCATTAGCAAATGAGAAATGCCACCAGATTGCCGACAGCCAGCCACAGCCCAGGAAATGACAGCTTCTTGTAGGGTTTCTTGTGATATTTCTCTTCTTGGAGAAGGTCAACAGATATACACAATTATTTAACTACTTCTAGATGTTCAAGCAACTTAAATAGAGAAAGTAGAGACTGGGGAAAACGAAGCTAGAACTATCATCATGTGAAGATAATGTGATCTCTACCTGGAAAATCAAAAATAATTAACTGGGGGGAAAAAGAATATTCTAAACAGTAAGTGATTCAGTAAGAGGCTGAATACAGTCCTGAGGGCATAGCAGAGGTCCCAGGCTCCTTGGGGAGTCCAGTGGCAGGTTGAACTCTACCAAGTTCCCTCTCTCATACAGGGTGTGGTGATTTGTATACTCTGGCAGAAACATTTATTCTGTATTTGGGTCTTCTCTCTCTGCAGGTCATACCCCTGCCTATTTCACCATCCCTGGAATTACTGACTTTGTATAATAGCACAGGGTGGGTCAGATAGAATTGTCTCCAACCAAGAAGCTCTTTCCCAGTGAAAGAAAAAAGACAACTGGCAAGCCCTGGACCATTATCATATTTCCCATCCACCAGAAGCAGCTGGCCTTTTAGAACAATGAAATGGTATTCTGAAAACAGATCCAGCAGTATCCAGGAGACCACACCTGTGAGGCTAGGATACTTCTGGTAGAAAGTGATATGTGATCTCAAACAGTGAGGCCCAGAAATCAAAAGTGGGGTGAGGGGTGGAGGGTGGCAGTTCTCACTGTTACTTTTCTCTCCAAAAATATTTACTTTCCATCCCACAAGTCACTCATGCTCTGTGGACTTAACTGTGCAAGAGTGATGTGTTTTCACCAAGGAGTCCAAGTAAGGAAGAGTTCCCTGGCCATTTTGGATTCCTCCTGAATCTAGGGCAATGGCAGAAAAGGGTGTCTGTCCCTATGCTGGTTGTGCTCTCCCTGATTATGGGCATAGGTTTGTTACTCCCTGATAGGACCTGGGAGAGGCAGAAGAGGGAGGAGGATGAGCTCTGTGGTTGCACCATCACACCCAGTGGCACAAATTAACAGAAAACTACATGGTTCATATTAACCACCCTAATTCTCTTGCCCCACTATTGTCTACATCAAGGTTTGGTGGTGGCTAAGACTACCAATTTGTATCAGGTTTTAGGAGGGAAGAAATAACCCTTGGGTAATGAGAAACTATAAGAAGAACGGGCAGTCCTTGGAAATTGTGAACTCTGAAACTTAGAAGGAACATTTAGAGTGGCCTGAGAGAAAGCAAAAAATACCAGTTGATTCCACTCATACTTGGAATATAAAATAGAAAGCGAAAGAACCGCTAACAACAAAGAAAAATAAACGATTAAAATCTGACTGCAGAACTATGACTACCGGAAGAGCAGGTGGGGAGTGGGATCAAAGGGAGGAAGGACTCAGTGAACTCTGGTGCAAAAGTTTTGGTGCTTTGGTAGTACACAGTGTGAGAGGATGCATTGCAGAGGTGGTGTGCAACCATACTCCTGAAACATATACAGGGTTATAAGCAATGCAATCTCAATAAACATAATTTAAAAAAAAATAAAGTGGCCTAAAATGTCACATTTGCATATTTGGATGTGACCTGCTGTTATCTCCCTTTTGAGATGCATTTGTTGCTGTGATAAATGCAGAGGTGGAACACATGTTGGTGTGACCAAGGTTTAGTTCTGAGCCCTCTTCTTTTCCCTGTTGCCTGCTGTACCTCAGCAACCTCATCCAGTGCCAGGGCTTTAAGTAACAAGTGACTTAAATATACCAATGACTCCGAAGCCTACACATCCAGCTCTGGCTGGACTATAAATCCACCTGCCTGCTTGGCCAACTCCTTGGAGGCCTCACAAAGATCTCAAATAAAGATGTCCAGATCAAAACTATTAATTTCAGCCTATCAGTATTGCCTAACCTGCTCCCGCTACAGTCTCCCCTTTTTCAATAAATGCACCATTAAGTGAACCAGTTGCTTAAAACAAAAACCTAGAGCTGCCCTGTGCAATATAGTAGCCACTAGCCACATCTGACTATTTCAATCTAAATGTTAATTAATTAAAATAAAAATTTCAGGTTCTTAGTTTTACAAGTCGTCAATGTATATAGCAAGTGGTTACTATATTGGATAATCAGAACCAGAACATTTCCACCATCACAAAGAGTGTTATTGGGTAGAACTTTTCCAAAAAGGTTGCCATTAATTCCTCTTTCTTTAACCTTCCACACATAATCCATGAACAAATCCTATGAATTTTACCTCCAAAACATTCCTTGCGTCAGTCTATTTTTCCCCAACCAACTCCCACTTTGTCTATGCCACCATTACCTTTTACCTGGGCTGTTGAACTCACACACTTCTTTTTTTTAATATTTATTCATTTATACAAGAACTTGGGTACGGGCCAGAGGTGGGGGGGGGGAGGCGGTGAGAGAAATCACCAGAGACAGAGTGGGGAACAGAACAGGCTGATCGACTGAAATATACTGCTGAGGGGAGCAGCAGGTGAGTCAGGAGAGGTCTGCTGCACCATGTGGGTTGCTCCCTGGCTGGCTGGGGGATAGAGCTAGTGCTGCAGTGGCTGCAGATAGCTTCATAGGTTGCTTCTTAACCCCTTGCGCCACCAGGAAGGCCCCTCACTCACTTCTTAATTATCTTAGAAGTCTCAACTTAGATATCATTGTTTTAGAGATGGGTCCTCTCACCAATCTGAAATAGCCAACAAGTAACACTCATTTAAATAACTTATTCCAATTCTCTGCATAGAACTTAGCATTAACTAATGATTCTTTAATGTGTTTATTGCCTGCCTCCGTCAACTAGATTGTACGCTCCATGACGTTAGGAATTCTAAGTTATTTCATTGCTGCATTCCCAAAGTCTAGAACAGTGCCTGAAACCTAGTATACTCAAGAAGTTTGTCAAATAAATGATCAAAAACTCTACAAGGAGTGCTGTGGTTAAAAGCAGGGTTTCTAAAATCAGAAGACGAATCACACTCCTATCTGGACCAGTTGTGTGATCTACTGCAAGTCAGATAACTCAAGGTTCACTGTAAAATGAGACCCCACCTATGGCATAGGGTAGCACTTATAAATAGCACTTATAAAGCACACCTTCTCCTCCCTCTCCTCCTCTGAGAGCTCCCTTCTTTCAGCCCTCCCCTGCGCCCCTCATGTGGTCACTTCTGCTATGGCGACTCTGCACCAAAGTAAAAAGGCAAGAGTAAGCCTTTGAAATTTGGCGGGAATTAATGGCCTCCGTCTGGAGGAGCTGAATTGCGCAGGCGCGGGACACCTACTCTTTCTCGCGCGCTAACTTTGCAGCCAATCAGATTTAGCGCTGGAACCCGAGTGTCCAGGGCTCACCAGTCGAATCTGGGAGGCGGGACGCCGCGGAGTCAGTGGCGAGAGGGGGCGGGGACTAGGGGCGGCCACGCCCCGTTCTGCGGCCCGAATCTCGGCGGCCCAATGAGAGAGGCCTGCAGCCCGAAGGCCGGGGGGCGGAGCGTTGGTGGCAGCCGGAATCCAAAGCCGTCCGACGCTGGCCAATCAGAGTGAGGAGGTGGGTGGAGTCTAGCCAATCAGCTTGCAGAATAGGTGAGGCTGGGGGTTGAGGAGTCTCGCGCAGACGCCCGCAGGCTCGGAGCGACTGTCAGGGCAGCCCGGCGTGCGGAGGCGGCTTGAGGAGGCGGGAAGGCGGCAGTGGTTGAAGGGGCAAGAGCCGAGTTGCGGAGAGAGGCCCGAGAGAGTGGGCAGCCATGGTGATGGCAGCAAAAAAGGGGCCAGGCCCGGGTGGCGGTGGCGCCGCGGGGAAGGCGGACGCGGAGGCGGCCTCGGAGGTGTGGTGTCGCCGGGTGCGAGAGCTGGGCGGCTGCAGCCAGGCCGGGAACCGCCACTGCTTCGAGTGCGCCCAGCGCGGGGTCACCTACGTGGATATCACCGTGGGCAGCTTCGTCTGCACCACCTGCTCCGGCCTCCTGTAAGTGGACCGGCGTGGGGGGAGGACCGGGATGGAGCAGCGGAGTCGGCCTTGGGGACAGCGGGAGAGCGGGGGCGCAGGGAAGGGAGCTGAGGCGGGAGAGGGCGTGGAAGCCAGGGATGCGCGTGGAAGCCAGGGATGCGCTAACTGTGGTGACAGGTTCGTCTGCTGCAGAGGTGTCACGGGGAAAGGAATGGAGACAAGACACGCAGTGTTGGGGTTGGCGTTGCAGGGGAAAGGAAAGACACTGGAGAGGAATGGAGAAACTCCCAAAGGGAGGCCAGGTGAACCTCAACTACAAGTGGGGAGGATTGAAGGGGGGAGAGGGAGTAAGTATTGAAAAGGCCCGAGAATGACCTACACCTTAAAAAGGGAACTTCAGGCAGGTGGAAGGCAAAAAGGAAGGAGAGAGGCAAGCTGGACTCAAGGTGTCCATTTCTTCCTTCTGGCTTGTGCCCCTCATGGAGTGTAAGATGGATGAACCAATTTACAATAGGTAAATTAGCCCAGTTAGACAGCATAGACGTTGTAGCAGGTAAGGAGCTATGTTCAGGTATTAAGGTGCAGATCCTAATCTTGGATCTGATCTGGAATAATACCCAGAGGTAGATTTCAAATCTAAGAGAGAGGAGAGCTGAAGGATTTCCCAGTTACAGAACTTAACTCATTCAAAGATCTGGGGACCTGGTTGAGCCAGTCTTAACTTCAGTGATTTACACCTTTAAGGATCTTGTTGCCATGACTGGATCCTGATAGTATCATCTATCAATTCTTTCTAGATTTGGGGAGGAGGGAGGTTTGTTGTATAATATGCAATGCTACACTTGTGACTAGCTGGGTATTTGGTCCTGCCTGAGCTGATTTCCGGCCACAGGTCTACCCCAAGCTCTGGTTATATAGATTCTTCACTTCCTCCTCTTGAGGGGATTATTTGGTTAGATGCATGGGTATCTATCTGTACGTCTATTTTTTACAAGTTTATTGAGAGATTTATTTGACTTTTTTTAGTATTATTTTAATACATTTGTTTTGTTTTGTTTTTAGCAAGGAGCACTTTCCTTGTTATCCTTTTCTCCTTACACCTTCAGGAGCTGAGGAGGCAGCAGTATTGTTCTTCCATGACAGATGGGAGAACAGAAGCAAAAGAGGTTTAGTAACTTATCTATTGCCATCTGGGGGTTGCTGTTTTCAGCACTTGTTGTTTGATATTAGTTATTATCATGGCAGACCAGAAATGAGGATCCATATCTCCTAAGATACAATCTAGGATTATTTCTCTACTCAATTTTTACCTACGTTACAAACTTCTCTCTATATTCTGATCAACCTCACTTGATAGACTTGACTTCGGTCTAAGAAAGCCATTATGGCTTTTGGGACAATGGTTGAGTACCCAAATAGAAGTGCTTCAAAAGTTGAGGTTGAGACTCAAATGAAGCAAGAAGATAGAGACTTAAGACTGGGGCAAATACTGTGAGGAGAAAAGGAGCAAAGTTTAGGAATATCTCTAGCAGAAAGTAGGAAAAAAGAGAAGCTTACTGAAGATCCTGTTTTAAAAAGGAAAATCTGATAGTAGAAGGAAGGGAGAAATAAAGGGAACAGGGGGATAAAACTGACAATATATCAGAGTGTAGGTCCTAGGAAGAAAATGTGTTTTTAAAAACAGTTAATTTGTTCCCACAGTTAGATGTGGTGACATGAAAGATGGAACACTAAGGAAATGGGAAGTACTGACAACATTATCATTATTTTATAGCTCTTGGTGTAAAGTATCCCATAGGTAATATTTCCCTTCTGTAATGAATATCCTTCAATCAGGACAGAAGGAAGGCCATCGAATCTAGGACATATTAAAAACCTGGTTTCTTTGCTGGAAAAGTTAACTCCTTAGATATCAGTACACAATTTGCAGAACTTTACCACTTTCCCCTTGTGGTCATAATTGTTGATTTCATTAAAGAAAGGTCAAATCCCTGTGACCTGGGTAGACTCTGGGTGGAGGCAACTATGGCCTAAGGATTGTTTAGTTTAATAGAGCAGCACCTGAAGAGGCCTGCCTCTGTCTGTGGTGTATTTTAGTTCCTTAGGAAGTTAAGTTCCCATGGGACCATGGAGGGGGAACCTACCAGCCTTTTTCTTCAGTTTAAAAAGATTCCGGTGGCTCAGTGGTTGAACTGGGTTGCAAGGCTGCCTGCGGCCTCTGCAGCGCCGGTTCGATCCCCGGCCGCTGGGCGAGGGTCCCACATGGTGCGCAGACCTCTCCTGCCACCCGCTGCTCCCCTCAGCAGTGTATTTCGTCAATCTGCCTGCCTGCTCTGTTCCCCACTCTGACTCTGGTGAGTTCTCTCACACTCCCAAGCTTCTGACTGTACCCAGTGCTTGTATAAATAAATAAATAAATCTCTAAAAAATTAAATAAATAAATAAATAAAATAAAAAATAAATGAAAAGATTCTAGAAAGGACATATAAACTTAGTATTTCCCATCCCATAATGGGAACTCACTCAGGATGTGATTCTAGAGATGGTAGACTTCAGAGAACACTTAAGTGGCTGGGAAATCAGAAGCTAGGCTAACCCTGTATTAGCAGCCAATGAGAGTAGCATGAAGCATCAAGAGGCTGAGCCAGTAAATTATGCTGAACTGAAGGCCTGTTGAGATTATAAGGAGAGAAATACCAGAAGAAATTCTACAAAGTTGTAGTTTACCTGAATAACCATCTGCCTAGATTCTGGTGGTATTTCTCACTAGTTCGTTGAAGTTCTCATTTGTCCATTATGCTATTTCTCATTTTTCATTCTAATTAGCATGGATGAGGCAAAGCATATAAAGCTTTTCAAGGGGTCTTAGAGTACTGCCTGTGTCCATTGATGTTCTGTGGGGAGGGCTGGGAGCCAGCAGGTGGGTGGTAGGCAGAATGTGGGAGGTGGGGCTTGGTGCTGGCTGCAGAGTGGGAGGGGGTAAGGGAGAAGCATGGCTCCAGGTGACACACACCAGCTAACATGTTAAATCTACATAGTTGATTGCCAATAGGTTGGGATTTTGTGGTGCTGGGAGGTGCAAATTGTGGTAAGTCAAAGTGATAAAAACCTGTGCATTCATTGGTTCAGTCAGTCAACAAATATTTATTGAGTGATCAAGCCCCAGACACTGTTTTAGGCACTAGAGATATGGTAGTAGACAAAATTGACGAAGTGTTCTTGTAGATTACATCCTAGTGGAGACCATGGAGTATAAATAATTATGTAATTGCATATAGTGATAAGTGCGATGAAGTAAACGAAAGGTCAACATGGGCCGGAGAGTGATGGGAGCTCATAATGAGGTATGATGACATAAGAGCATAAGAGATGTTCTTTGTTAAAAGGAAGAAGTTATTGAAGACAGAAATTACATACTTTGTCAGAGAAAGAGACAGCAGGATTGGTTTATTTTGAGAGTCAGTTTTCTGTTGGGTATGTTACAAATATGTCTGCATCTGATGGAGTGTTTTGGAGGTGGTGAACACAATTACCAGAGTACCCAGCTGTCTCCATTGACTGATGTAGCAAGGTTAACTGTTCCAGCCAAAGTTGAATTTTCTGAGAGCTAAGGGAAAATTCAGATTTTAATATTGGTGAATGGTATGACTGTGCCTTCAACCCTGCACATGTGAGCTCATTCTCACTCTCTCTTTTTTAATGAGAAATATTCTCTCCACTGTAGCAAAACCCCACAGCGTTGGTGTGAGGGCCTGGCAGAGATGCTGCTAGTTTCTGCCATTTCTAAATTTACATACATGCTGCCACAGCCGTAGATCCCAACTGTGACCTAGTTTTAATTCCTTGATTTTCTTCCAATACCTAATTTTCTTAACCTGGATATAGATCCATTTAATTTCCCCAACATATATATATGCTTGTTTGTTTAGTTGTATTTCTAACTCTTCCCCTAGAGGATGAATCTGCCACTTGAAGCTAGTTTGGGATAAAAATTGCCACTAAAAAGGATTTATTTCCAAAGCGTTTCTTAAATGTTCCTTTTGTTTTGGTTTGCCTGGATACCTCAATCAGTAAACCACTTTCTTTGGAAAGAAAGTAGATGTTGAGGGCCTCCCTGGTGGCGCAAGTGGTTAGGCACCACACTATGAAGCAATCCGTGGCCTCTGCAGCGCGAGTTCGATCCCCGGCTGACCAGAGAGAAACCCACATGGCGAAGCAGACCTCTCCTGCCTCACCCGCTGCTCCCCTCAGCACTGTATTTCAGTCAGTCCGCCTATTCTGTTCCCCGCTCTGTCTCTGGTGAATCCTCTCACCCCCTGCATCTCTGGCCTTTACCCTAGCTCTTGTATGCATAAATAAATAAATCTTAAAAAAAAAAAAAAAAAAAGAAAGTAGATGTTGAGTCCTGAGATCTCATTGACATGCAGAGTGGGCCTTACTTTTGATGCCCAGGTATTTTCACCAAAGTATGTTACATGCTTCTCTGACCTGGCTCTTTGGGTCCATCCTTTAATCCATTATCCTTCAGGTCTCGGCAGTGGCTGTCTCTTCTGCTGAGTAACTTCATTCTGATAATGGGACTAAGTCAGGATTAAGGTGGACAGAGCTCTGGGCTAGATGTCAAGGGATGTGCTTGATAGCTCTTATTTGCAACAAGTTCCTCAACCCCTTGTGCCTGAGTTTCCCTAACTGGCTTGCTAGTAGTAGTTCTTTGTTGAAGCCATTTTATCTCCGAAGAAGGAAATGTATGATATGCTGCTCAGTAATCCATAACTTTTCCAGTTATCTCGGTTAGAGAAGTAGACATACACCTTGCCCTGTTACATTTTCATCCTTCCATCACCTCCCATCTCACTGGGCAGAATCTCACCAAATTACAGATTTAGGCATGTACATCATAAGGAGCTGGTGGACAATTTTGAAAAGCCCCTGATGAAGCAATAAATTACCAAAAGGGGGAGGGTGTGAAAAGATTGAGATTGAGTCTGAATAGGAGGGCAGCTGGCAGTATCAGGATTCTATGTGGCTCAGCATTAGAGGATCACTGTTTATCATTGTCACTGAGCAAGAACTACAGGAAATGGGTTGAAGCAGGGGAATTTACTTGGGGAAGAGGCTTCCTGAAATTAGTGAAGTTGGCCCTGGAGCGGAGTAATAGGAAAGCCTTCCTGTTAGGGACGATTAAGAGACCCTAATGGGGACTCTTCTTGGTGATGTTTGCATCCAAGATAAGAACTGAGGCCTGCTCAGAAGCAGAGGAGTCAAATCTCAGGAGTGAAGAAACACAATCTGGGGTGTATGAATTTGAACACAAATATTCAGAGGTAAGGAATTCCCGAGTACAAATTTGGCACAAATGAAAGAACTTGGGTGCTGGGTGGAACTGTTTTTTTCCATTGTTGACCTGGCAGAACCTTCTTTATCTGAGCAGCTGAGCAGGTTTGAAGCTTTTATGAAGCAAGGTAGAGGCAAAATATGGGCCACTTTGAGGGTGACGACCATACCAAAACAAAAGTTGTGGTAGATATTTGTATAAATAGTAATATGCTTAACAACATCAAAGGGAGAGGGGAGAGAGGCAAAGTGAAAAAATTGGATAGACTAGAATCTATTACAAATGCTTCACTTGATGAGTAATTCAGAGGACTTCAAAGAGTGATTCAGAGGATTTAAAATGCTGTTTAGGTGCCTGTGAAAAGGAAACTGAAGTCAAAAAAGACATCATTGCTGGGCTGAAGGTCTGGGTCCTCGTCGTGTATGTGCTTTCAACTGGAAAAAGTTGCCTTATTCTGGGCAAATAAATGTACTCTCTATTTCCCCAGGACCTCTTGGTTCAAAATAACAGAGTGGATTTACTGTAATAACTAAAGGGCAGTGTCTCCTTCTAGCTCTCACTTCCCTTGGGGGAGAACCTGAGAGTTATGTCGGGGAAACTAGGTATAAGTTGCAGAGCTAGGTCTGTTTAATTCCTAGCCAGTGACTCACATCTGTCCCATTGTGTGACCCTGTAGGCGCCCAACAAAAACGATCACTCCTAAACCATTTGATTTCAGCTATGAGGAGGAGAGGGGCTCTTGTTTCTAAAGTGCTTCTCCCATCCAGCAGTGTCCTCTGTGATTCAAGAAACAAATGCTCTGACTCATAGGCCATGTAACTAGGCCTCTTCCTAGGCTGCAGATTGTTGCCTTGTAGAGAATTCTCCCTGCCCCCAAACTGTGGCTCTGGTTATACAAAATCCACTCTACAGACATCAAGGTCAGAGCAGTGCTTTTTGTACTGTGCTATGGAAACATCCTGTTCTATAAGATTCATTTGGCCCTAAGCAGTTGAATCACTTCTTATTTTCTTTGCCTTCATCCTATCTCCCCTGCCCTTCCTACTCCCCACGCCCAAAAAAAAAAAAAAAAAAAAAAAAAAAAACCCTCCACTCCAGGCTCAGTCATAGGAAGTTCTGTTGTTGTCAGCATCCCCTCTAGATTGATGCCTGGTCTCCCCACCCCCACCCCACTAGGAAACAAACCTCCCTGTTTATACTTTACTAACAGTTCCTGGTTGTCCTTTCAGGAAATGTCAACGACCTTTTGGTGATTGGCGTAGAATTGCTATTCCAGGGTAAACATAATACCTTTTACCTTCTGGTGACCATTTCTCTTCCTTCCCCAACTTCAGGATCCTGGTCCCACATTCTTCCAGATCCATCTGTGTGTGTCTAAGTGCAACCTTGCTGTGTTAAGAAATACTCACATCCATACTCCTTGGGTCCTTCTTGTAAGCAAGTGCCTGGTAATAGAAGACTAGAACCTACCTACCACAGTGCCTTGTGGGCAAAGTAAATATTTGTTAGTGGGAGGTTACAAGAGGACCAGGATCATACAAATCTTTCTGAGGTCTGCTTTGGCTAGACTTCAGAAAGGCCTGGCATTCCGAGAGGAAAGGTACCTTGTGGTTAAGGTGAAAAAGGGCCAGGGAAGGATTGTAAAAGCAGTCTGTCATCCATCAAAGAGGCTTTTTAAAAGAGAAAACGGGGATATCTCTGAAATGTGATCAGAAGAGGGTCTTCAGTGCGGGTGAAGTTTAAGAGTTACTCTTTGACATTTAGCAACAAAGCCTTACTTTTGGTTTTCCCTGCACTTGTTTTCCTTAGGGCATCAGTCCTCTTTGGTATAACTTGGCTTTTAAAGGGGTACTTTAAGATCCATTACTTCAAAGTCTAGCAGTGGAATTGCTGAAAATGTCCTCAATTATAGCCTCCAGGGTCTTGTCCTTTGTTAAAATCCCATAATCGGTAATTTGTCATCCAGAAGAGCAGCTGTCCTCTTTGTTCACTGTGTACTGTACCATTTGTCCCCTTCCTGCACCCCCACTTGCACTAACATGTACCAGACTTCACAGGGGTACTTTTATTCTCTGTAGGCCCCTGTCAGTGTGTGTTTCCCCCACCTTTCTCTAGAATCTCCATTTGGTGAATTTTGTTATCTCTTCCTTCTCCCTTATCTTCCCTAATGATGTCAGCCAGGATCCTCTACTAGTTACTTCTATTTTCACATCTTGATTTGTCCATTTTTTCCAGGGGAGTAAGAGTGTGAAGAAGCCTCCTCAAGTGAAACTGGTTTTCCTGCCTGAGTGCTCTTTCACCCTGGCCCCATGGTCTAGTGTATTTGTGTTGATTTGGACAGTTTTGTTTTAATCTAAGAAGGGTAGTAGATCCAAACCAGAGTCAAACTGAAGGTCTAAGAAAGGAGAATCTATGAATACCTTCCTGGCTTAGCCTCAAATTTCCCCTGGCAAGAACACCCCAGAGGGCAGTAGACTTGCAACAGGGTGGTCCCCAGGAAAGGGGGAGGTTCCCTGCCCCACCCAAGGGAGGGTGGAGCTGAGCAGGAAGAGAAGCTGCAGAAGAGACTGAGGAAGGAAGCAGGATGGAGCCAGGAGACCTGGAAGAGGCGCATGGAGCCTAGAGACATGTGAAGAAACTGCGCTTGTCTTTTGGTCGTGGACTGGGTGACACAGATGTGGGTGAGACCCGTGGGGAGGTGACCATGGCAGCTTTTATCTTGATGTTGATTTTGCTCTTTTCCTTCCGGGCTTGTCTGGTTGTTTGTGACCCTTTTCTGTGGGTCCCCACTGGAAGATGTTTTAGACTTGTGGCAGGCTTTGGGGCCTTGCTCTGGGCCGACCCCATATGGATGGAGTTTTACCCACGAGGGGATGGGTAACTTTGGGTGCTTCATTTAGAAACTAGACTCTTTGCCTTACCTGTATTGTTTCCTAGTTTTTATTAAAGATCCTTCCCATTAAAGTGTCATATGTTTTGTGTTGATGCGGCGGATGGCAGAACCCATGTAGAATAGGCAGATTTGCAGGGTTTGGGCTGACCCTCTCCCTGTCCTATAACAGACTGGGGGCACAGAAGTCTTCTTCTCTGTTGTAATCTCTGCAGGGCTCCTGTGGGCAGAACTGGACTCCCTGGGAGTCAGCAGAACTCACAAAGTTGACTCAAAAGCATCGCAACAGGATATATGTTCCTGGCTTGTGCCACTCTTATACCTCGTGGTTGTACTTGCCTTTCTCCTACTTTGTTGAAAGAGCTAGGAATAGGCCTCCCTGGTGGCGCAGGGGATTGGGCACAGCACTGTGAAGCTGTCTGCAGCCTCTGCAGCATGAGTTCGATCCCTGGCCGGCCAGAGAGCGACCCACATGGCGCAGCAGACCTCTCCTGCCTCGCCTGATGCTCCCCTCAGCAGTGTATTTCAGTCAGTCTGCCTGTTCTGTTCCCCACTCTGTCTCTGGTGAATCCTCTCACCCCCTGCATCTCTGACCTGTACGCCAGCTCTTGTATGCATAAATAAATAGATCTTAAAAAAAAAAAAAGAAAGAAAGAAAGAGCTAGGAATAAAAAAGTCAGAGGTATTTCTTTTCTTAAAGGTCTCTCCTTGAAAGAGAGGGACTCTCCATCCCTACCATCATGCCAACCTTCCCAGTGGACAAGAAGAGGGGCAGCTTGCCTAGGGACCCTGGTTTTTTGTCTCCAGATCTTATCTTTGCCAGTCTTGTCAGGAATAGTCACAGGCATTCATTTTGGCCTTCCCTCAGGCTTGAAGGATTTATGTCTTTGTGGGCCCTGGGACCTTGAGGACGTGCTGTAGGTGTTAAGCAAGGACACGGGGGAAATGGACGTCATTGCCACTCTGAGTTCCAGAAATGTCCCCTCAGCCTGCAGGCTGCCCACCAAAACTGTTGGGATCTGAACCAGAGTAAGAGGAAGCTTCTGGATGGGCAGCCTCTGCCTTTCTCTCCACAATGACTGGAATCACAATATGTTCCTGGCTCTGTGGTCCCTGTCTCTTTAGAAGCCTCCAAAATATTCTTGTTTACCTTCTTTCCTTGAATTAGGAAGCAGCTTCAGGCAGAAGGTTCTATCTGAACTTAATTTATATCTTGTTTTATCCTTCCTCCCTCCCTTTCCCATAAATAGACCTGCAGTGCTAACCATGTTATACTTTTTCTTTCCATTTCTCTCCCACAGGAGAGGCCTGAACCCTCCTCATCGAGTCAAGTCCATCTCCATGACAACTTTCACTGAGCCTGAAGTAGTATTCCTGCAGTCCCGTGGAAATGAGGTGCACTAACACTGACAGAATGGCTGTGTGCTGCAGTGGCCCTATCTGCCAGCAGAGCTTTGTCTCAAAATGATAGAAATTCCTTACAGTTTTCTCTTTTGGTCAAGTTCCTCCTTTTTTTAGTACTAAGCTTTTTTTTGTCTTGTGTTTATTTGTATATTTACAGAATCTTTAATTATGCAGGCACACCTTGGAGATACTGCAGCTTCTGTTCCACATCACCTCTTTAAAGCAAATGCCATTAATAAGGCGAGTCACATGAATGTCTTTGGTTTCCCAGTATATGTAAAATTATGTTCCCACTATACTGTAGTCTGTTAAGTGTGCAGTAGCATTGCATCTAAAACAACAGTGAGCAGCCCTTAATTAAATGTGACACAGAGACACAAAGTGAGCTCGTGCTGATGGAAGAATGGCGCCAGCAGGCTTGCTCAATGCAGGCTTGCCACAACCTTCAATTTGTAAAAACTGCAGTGTCTGCAAGGCACAGTAAGCAAAGTGCAATAAAACAAGGTATGCCTGTATCAGTGGTGTTTGTCTAAGCCCCTTGTTGGAGGAATCTGGAAAAGAGCAAAATCTCTTGTCAAGCAACCTCTGGACATGCAAGCAGGGAAAGGGGGAGGGGCCCACACTGATGTGCATTCGGAGTGGACTGGACTGGCCCCTCTGAGTAAGATGTCCTGGAGTCAGCTCTGCTGACTTGAGACTCAGCAAAGTGAGGTGTAAGTCCATGTCATTTTTGTGAATGTGAGTTAAACCCCTTCCCCAGCTAAATCAACTGGTGGGAAAATGCCATCCTTGGTGTAAGCAGTACCCCTAGTTTGTGGGTGATTTGGCTTACTTGGAGGGTGTCCTTGAAACCACAGCCCTGAAAATTGTCCCTAACCCCACCTCCATTCAAATTTAGTCTCTCATAATTCTCAGCGCATTCTGTTTTCTCTAGTCGATGTGTCAATAATACGTGGTATAAATTTATTTTTATTTCTCTAAGGCATGGCCTCCCCCATTAGATGATCAACTTCATCAGGTCTGATTTGTAGGAATACTCAGATGCTCATAACTGGATCCATGCTCAAATACTTGTTGATGAATAAATTAGAAGTGGTATCATTCCCAGTTCATGCTTTCTACCCAATTCCTCCTCTAGGTTTGCAGGAAGATTTGGTTGGGTCTTTTTGATGCTCGGACCTCTTTAATACCAGATTCCAGGGATCCTCAGAAGGTGAAAGAGTTCCTCCAGGAAAAATATGAGAAGAAGAGATGGTAAGGAGAAGGAAAGAGAATACTATAGAGACGTGTCCAAATACTTTCATCTGACAGACCAGTTTCTACAGTTGAATTTGGGCTTCTCTTAAAGGCTAGACTTTTTTGAATTTGTTCCACTCAGGTTCAGTTAGGGCCAAATTGTGACTTCCAATAATAAACAGGAAAGGACAACTTTTCCCCAATCACTAACCTTGCAGATTTGATGTCCCCTTTTTTGGGGAGAGAGAAGATTGATTGGAGAAGGGAGCCAGGCCTGTGAGAGTGGGGTTAGTTTTTATACCTCAGCTGATCTTATATATAGGGGAGGTGGCTGGAAGCATATGTCCTCTAACTTCATGCAGGTAACCCATCATTTCATTTGCGGTTTGTATGTATTCTATTTTCCTGATAAGGACAACGGCATCTCTATTCTCCCTTGTTTTTTCTCTCTCCAGGTGTCACTTTCTAGCTTCTGATCTCTGGGGTGTTTGTGACAGGGAAGTGGGGGGTTGGGGATAGGGGAGGGGTGTAACCATAGGGTGGAGAGAGAATGTACAGAGCAAGGAGTATGGGCAAACAGCATTTTGGAGTCCCTCCTGGGGGTGTCCTTAGGTAAAGAAGATACTTCCAGAGGAGAGGCCACACACCCAGAAGTGGAAGAGGGGACCTTGAATAGGAAGTTGGAAAAATAGGATTGCCTGTTCATCAGCTTAATTTCAGGTGTTATTATTTGAAACTCAGGTTGTTTGAGGTGTCAGATAGAGGAGGGGAAAGGAGGCATAGGCCAGAGCAAACTAAACACTCCTCCAGAAAAAAATGATCATCTGACAGTAAAGTGGAAACTCAGATGGGCAGAACCTTGCTGAGTTGTTAAATTCTCTATTTATTTATTATTTTTTTAAGATTTTATTTATTTATTTTTGTGTAGAAGAACTCTAGGGTATAGGCCAGAGGTGCAGAAGGTGAGAGGATTCACTAGAGACAGAATGGAGAGCAGAACAGGCAGATCTACTGAAATACACTGCTGAGCAGAGCAGTGGTTGAGACAGGAGAGTTATGCTGGGCCATGGGGGTCAGCTCCCTGGATGGGGATTGAACTCAAGCCCTCCTGGTGATAGTGCTGTTACTTAATCCTTAGGCCACCAGGGAGGCCCCCACTCTCTTTAGTTTAAAAGAGAGAATCAGTAGAGAAAAATGAGAAAGGCGTTTGACTGTTTCCCCAAGCATCTAATCTAAGCATGGTTGCTTTACCCCTCGCCTTTCAGCCTAACTATTCTTTCTCCAAGGTATGTCCCCCCAGACCAAGTCAAGGGGCCCACTTATACCAAAGGCAGTGCCTCCACTCCTATCCAGGGCTCCATCCCAGATGGGAAGCCCCTGCGGACACTTCTGGGTGATCCTGTGCCATCTCTCTCAGCTGCCGCCTCCACCTCTAGCCAGGTAACACTCAGATATGCCCTTCAAGATTATTTTGGGATTAGGAGAAAGGGATGTCTGTGGAAGATGAGGCTAGAGCTCCAGGAGACTGTTGGGCTATATCCCTGAGTATCTCAGGGCTGCCCTGACTAATATTCTCTAAAATGTGTAGTTTGGGACCTGGTCTACCGAGAAGACACAGGAGTTGAGTTTGAGAGGGGTCCAGGCATCTGCCCAGGAACCCTCTGCATTGAGGGCAGTTTCACATTCTTTCCTCTTGCCATTGCCTATGTGGGGGAAGTCTGAGGAGCCACACAGGGGCCTGGGTTGTGTCTGGGCTTCTAAGTGCTGTTTGTGATTCCTTCTCCAAGCCTCTCAGTCAGTCTCAGGCACGGACATCCCAGCCCCGGAGCTCTCAGCCACCTGCCCACACCTCAGTCAAGAAAGCCAGCACAGACCTGCTGGCTGACATCGGTGGAGACCCCTTTGCTGCTCCCCAGGTGGCACCAACTTTTGCTGCATTCCCAGCCTTTGGGGGTAAGTGGGGCTGGGGATGAGAACCTTCCTGCAGCTGATATACCCAAGGAATTCACTCCCTTGGGGTGACCAAGCTTTACTTGGTTCTAGCTCTTTGTGAACAAAGGTGATGGTAATTTTGGAGTGTGGAGGCTGGGGCAGGGGTGGGGGCGGGGGTGGAGTCAAATAAGTACAGCAGGGGTTATGTTTAGGAGTTTTGGTCACGAAGTACTACAGTGGGGGCTTCCAGCACTCCCAGGAAATAGCTATTATAATTCTTTCTCTTTATGGAAAATGGGGATGGGGGTTTTATGTGTTCCATTTCCCCTCCCCCGTACCCAAAGATCAGCAGTAGTCAGTAAAGAGATGAGTGAGTGTTATCTGGTTTCCCTTTCTCTTTCAAGCTTCCTCCCTCCCACACACTTTTTTTTTTTTTTTTTGCAAACTGAACCCTTCAAAAATGTTAATGCCTCATGGAGTAAGGAATAAAAGATGACATCCCCTTTCCCTTGGCTCTCTGCCCCAGACCCTTTCCCTCTGAAAAGGACTCTGGAAAGGCAGGTGTCCCATGGAGTGGCCTTGGCCTTTAGAATTCATAGATATTGTAGAATATGTATACATTTCGTACATGGCTCCTTTGTATTCCTTCCCTCCCTTAGGCCAGACACCTTCCCATGGGGGCTTCGCCAACTTTGATGCCTTTGGCAGTAGCCCCAGCTCTTCTGCGTTTGGAAGCATTCCTCCAGCTGGCCAAGCCCCGTTCCAGGCCCAGCCAACACCCCCAGGTAAACTCTGCCCCAGCAGTGTCCCTTCTCTTTTCCAGTCGCTTCCAGTTGTCCACACCACACATCAACCTTCACTCACATTTCCATGTGTAGAGGGACAAAAGACAAGGAAGAGCTCCAGGAAGGGATAAGAGAGTCCAACGAGATTCTTGTCAGGAGGCGGGGGCTCTACTGTTTTGCTTTCTCGTGTAAGGACAATGGTGAAAATTACCACAGCAGTTGTGCAGGTCGTGTGCTAGATTTCTGACTGGGAAGTATGGAGACCTGAATCCTAGAAAAGTTGAGAATGAACATGATCTCCTCCCTAGGTTGCTCTGATGTTGTGTGTTATATACTGCCCAAAGAGGTCAAGGACTGGATCATAGTTGAAGGTAGTTTCCAGAGTCTTCACCCATCCGTCTCAGAGCAAAGCCTGTGAACTGTTGTGTTGTTTGAGTGAAAGGGAGTCTGAAGGCTGCCTGAGAGCCGGGTTCCTGCCTAGTTTAAGTTTTCCCCCAGTTTTCAGAGCCTTTGGGCTGCCCCCTTCCTATGGACATTCTGGACACCACGGAGGGCAGCTGGAGCACTGTAAGACCAGATATCTGGGGAAAGCCAGTGACTTACACTCTTTCTTTCTCCCTCCCAACCCGCCCACCCTCTCCCTTCTGAACCCCATCACTGCCAGCCAGTCGGATGCTAACTGGAAGTTACAGCTTCGGTAAGTTCTTTTCTACCCACACCTTACCCATGGTAGGGGCCTATCTCAGATCCTTTGATCAGTTTTGAGGTCCAGAAGTAATCCCTCAAATTTGTCCATTCCCCTGATGAAGCAGTTAAGCAGTTTGCCTAGTCATGCAGCCGACAGAGTGGCAGAGCAGGCCCAGAGCCCAGATTTCTTAACTCCCGCTCTGCCCACAGCCTTTCCACTGTGCTGCTGCGAACTGGTTGGTTGCTTTCATTTTTATTTTATTTTTTTGTTGTGATAAGAGACATTTTATATTGATAAAAGTTAAAATTCACCAAGTGGGCCTCCCCGGTGGCGCAGCGGTTGAGCGCTGGGTTGCGAAGCTGCCCGCAGCCTCTGCAGCACCGGTTCAATCCCCGGCTGTTCCCTGGCCATCGGAGGAGGGTCCCACATGGCGCGCAGACCTCTCCTGCCGCCCGCTGCTCCCCTCAGCAGTATGTACTTCGGTCCCTCTGCCTGCTCTGCTCCCCACTCTGGCTCTGGTGAATTCTCTCACCCTCCCGTGCTTCTGACTAAACCCAGTGCTTGTATAAATAAATAAATAAATCTTTAAAAAAAAAATTTCACAAAGTTCTCATATTGTGAACTTAAAGTAATTGACAGGCTAACCTTGATTCATAAAGCAAAAACCACTAGGCACAATGAAAAGCTAATAATCTGACAGAGTGGGAGACACCAGTAGACCTGTCACAAGATTGATAAACTAGACAAGTAAGGGAGAAAGCAGAACACTTGTGTAACAGTTTAACAAGTTTGATCTATAAATATAAGTAGAACTTTGTCACCAAAAGACGGAATATATATTATTTTTCAAACATAGAATCCTTTTATAATTTGACCATTTACTGGGAAACAAAAATCTCCATAAATTCTGACAAATAAAAATTACTTAGGTGGTATTCTGTATGATAAAAGATGTTCTGGACACAGCTTTGGCGTGAGGCAGATCAGGAAAAAACACAACATGGAAAACAGACAAAAAGTTAATAGCCATCATGTGTTTTTATATAAACCCCTGCTAACAAGAAAGACTAGAGTTATGAACAAGGGATACAAACAAATAATTCCCAATTTTTTGTGTGAATCTGAAAATGTCTTCAAACTAATTAGGGAAAATACAGTTTAGGATAATATTTTTGCACATCATATAGACAAAAAGGTGAAGACTGATAACGGCCGGTATTGCATGGAGACATGGGCCCTTTTGTGCACTAAGGGTAGGAATGTAAATTGGCACAGAAATAGTCAATTTAGCAAGAGGCAGTGTTCCCTGGGCTGGGATTACTGAACAAAACAGCCTATACACGGTTGCTATAATCTTTCAGAAATATATTCCTAGCACAAATGATTGCTTTAAATAGAGACCTTGAAGGGCCAACTTTTAAAACAGAGAAGGAAGGACCTGGAGCCATCCCAGTCTGAGCCTGGGATGAACCTTTTGTCCAGCGTCTGGACAAAAAGCAAACGGTCTGCAGCCAGAGCCGGCCAGCATTTGTGAGGCTCTGGCCAGTTCTTGCAGAATCCACCTACTATCTCCACGAAGAAGGAAAAAACTCCACTTTGTGGTTGAGGAAACTGCCTCAACGTGACCAGTTACTTGACCCAAATTGAACAGCTGACAAATAGCAGGTCCCATTCACTTTCCACCACACCATGGTCACCAGGTTGTTTCTATGAGAGTGCCATAAAGAACTTGGGTGTGATGTAGGGAGCTTTTAGGGAGAGGTGGCTGTCTCTTCTGACAAGTCTGGTTGCATTTTTATATTTCTCAGGGGGGTTATGGAGAGGGGAGTTTCCTCTGAGACTGCTATAAGGCATGTTCACAATGCCAGCTGCATGGAGCAAGGCTCTGGAAGTATACTGGAAGCAAACAGAAGGGCAGGTGTTCCTAAGGACTGCCTCCTTGCCAAGGCTGTGCCCTCTGTGCAGGGTGCCTACCCGCCTGGGCAAGGGCCTGCTCTGCCCTCTAGTGTTCATAAGGAGACATGGCACTGCCTGCAGCTAGCAGGACAGCTCCCTGCCAACCTGGGAGGATTGAGGACGTGGGCCTCATTGAGGGATGCTCCCTGACTGAAGGCCCCAGCAGGGCTGAAGAGTCTGACCTAAGTGAGGACAGGGAGCTGCATTCTCCTGGAAATTCCACAGACCCCAGTCAATCAGGCCAAGGAAGGGCCTGATGGAAGACCAGATGTGCAGGGTGGGATTACAGCCTCTCTCTGTTCCTCTAGCAAACCCAGCAGTTAGGGGAGGAGAGTGGCCTAGGAGAGCACTGTCTTCAGTGCTAGTACTCCGCAGCTGCCAACCTTTGCAACCTCAAAGCTGGCAGCTACTGGGTACCGGTCTTCCCTGTGGCATCTCAGCTTCTCCAAGTTAGAGCCACTCACCACCAGTCATGCTCAGTGCCTACCAGTGGAAGACACCCTTTCACAAGGGTTTAGAGCACAGAGATTCCGGTTACAGTTCTGGGGCATTCAGAAAAAAAGCCCAAATCTTTACCGACAAGAAACAGGCAGAGGTTCAAGGGTGTCAGGGAGCAACATGGATTTGAAAATCAGTCTTCTTTGCTTCCTGTCTTTTCCTTTCCCTTGTTCTTCCCCTTGTCTCTGCGAATAAAAGTGAAGATTCCCCTTCATCCTTTCCCATTTCTGCAGGGTCTTGTGCCATCAATTTCTTACTGGATTTCACCTCTACTTTCTCCATTTCTGCTGACATATTTCCTTTTTCCACAAATATGCTTAAAGTTGCCCATCCCAGCAAATGTGTTCACGGTCTCAGGCATGGTCTCTCTTGTCTTACCTGCTGTCCATACCTGTGCCTCTGGAAGAGGAGTCCGATGGCCTTCTTACTCATTTTTTTAATTGTCCTGTTTTTCTTTTTTTACACATTTTATGTCGTAATATACATACTGTTCCACACCTTTTTTTTTTTTTTAACTTAACAGTACTGTTAGCTCTTATCAGTACAGTAAAACCTTCCTCATTCTTTATAGCCACACAGTAGTCCACGGTATGTATATACCATGATTTATTTAATCCATCCCTTACTGATGAACATTTTTTGCTATTAAACAGTCTTACAGTGAATAACCCTGTATGTGTCATGTTTTGCACATTTGCAAGCTACATGTGTAAGAAAATTACTAGCAATGGAATTGGTCTAGTGGGGACACAGTTGATCTGGAAATAAAAATATCTCACTACAAGTATGACAAATGCTGTGAAGGAAGAGAACAAGGTGCTAGGAGAGGAAAAGGAGGATCTAATTCACATTTGTGGGGTAGTGAACTCTCATGCAGAGACATGGTTCTGTTGAGCGTAAAGGAAAGTAGGAGTTAGCAGGCCTGGGTGTGGGGAGGGCAGCTCTCCTTCAAGGCAGAGGTGGGGCTTGTGGAAAGGCCACCCCCAGGATCCAGGGGAGGGGCTGTTAGGATTTCAGCCAGCTGTCACGTGTTTCCTTTGAGACCTTGTTTTGCTTCACTGACCCTGGAAATATTTTCTTTTCCCTGAACCATTAAACATCACATTTGTGTCACCAAAAGACAACTTTCAAAACATTCTCACTTATCTCAGAGAGTCTTTACAACCAAAAAAAGTGGGCCCAGGAGCCAGAGATAGTAGCAAGTGGTAGCACCCTCACCACAACGCAGTCCTGGCTACCTGTACAGGTGTTTACCCAGCAGTCAGTCCTTGACCGTGGGCATGTGTCCAGCACTGCAAAGTGGGTTTCCCTTCAGTGATAATGAATCTTCCAGCACTCATAAAAGTGAAGCCTTCTCCCTCTGTAGCTTCATTTTATCCTCACAACTGCCCAGAGTGACTGACAGGGCCCAGCGTGATGTGACTTAGACATACAGACAGAATTTTTCTTAATAAAATGATAGGGCCCCAGGCCTCCTCTCAGGAGACATGACTGCATGCTCCTTGAGCAGTTTTGTAAGGCTCCCCTTGCCTCCTGTACATGTTTTTAGGTGTGAAGATCAGGTAGGACGGGAGAACCTTGCAGTCGACCTGGCACTGTCACATATGCCCACCCTGATCTAAGCCCACAGCATGGAGGTGGCCTCCCAGGAGGAGGCCCCCCTGTGGGGGGTGGAGGGGAACTGTGCTGATGGTGGGATTTATGCTCTTCACATCCCTTGCCATGTCCACATTCCATGAATCTCCAGGGTATCTTGGGGCCTTTCTGCCCTTCCCCATACCTCCCCCACCCCCTTTTCCTGCCCCTTCATGTGACCGATCCATAAATGGAAATGCTGATTTGAGAAAAGGACAGACTCCTCTCTCTTGAGGAAAAAAATGGGACATGTATGCCAAACTAGAACAGGAGAAGTGGTGTGACCCAAGGAAGCTCAGCCTTCCTCAGCAGTGGGGACTTTGAGCGTCTGGAGGATTGGGGCAGGCTGGCTTGTCACACTGCCCTGACTTCGTAGGAGGCGAATGGTCCAGGAAAGGTGGACTGGCTCACAGCATCCCACGGGCACCTCATGCATCACTCCACCCCACTGAACCTCACCTCCATCTCCTGCCCCTTCCCCAGTCTCACCGGTACTCCCTGTCTTCCTGTGATTACCCAGGGAGCAGCCAGGTGACTCCATTTGGTGCCTCTCCTCTTGCACCTGCCAGTCAGCCAAACAGCCTTGCAGATATGGGCAGCCTCCTGGGACCTGGGGCATCAACTGGAGGGATCCCTAGCAGGTAGGTCCGGATTTCGGGGGATTTGCAGGGCAGGAGAGCTGGCCAAGAAACCCTGGCCTGCCTTTTCCCAGCCCCTCAGCTCCTCCTGTCTGGCAGTACAGGGCCTGCCACCTCCTGGCCCCCTGCCCGGCTTGTCTCCCTGCTCCGGGGCGATGGGCATGCTGACTTCTCTCCCCATATCGCAGCATCTTCGGGATGACCAGCCAGGTCCCCATGCTCCAGTCTGCTGCTACTGGTGGAGGCAGCAACACAGGGCTTGCCTTTGGAGGTGAGTCTTGTTTATGAGACCCAGGAAGGGGATCCAAAGCAAAGAGGAAATTGGGGACTGAGGACAGGGAGGGGAGTGGAGAGAGCAGATTTAGAGAAATGTTTAGTTGCCATAAACTAAACAGTAAGCAAATGGAAAAATATAACTCTCCCCCACTGCTATTCCATTCCACCCTGAGCAGCCTTCACCAACCCGTTCACCGCGCCTGCAGCTCACCCGCAACTGCCTTCCACCAACCCCTTTCAGACCAATGGTTTGGCCACAGGTAAGCTTCCCAGACTACACCCCGGCCCAGACTCTCCCGTCCTCCCTCCTCTCACACCCTCAGGGGAAGCAGCAGGCAGCTTCAGCTGGCTTGGGGTCCTTCCAAAACTAGTCTGCCCCTGCCCTTCAGCAGCGGCCAGGCCAGACCCACTGTAATTTCCAGGCCGCCTAGTGGGCAAAAAAGGGAGAAGCACCCCAAGTCACAGAATCACAATTTTAGAATAGAGACAGACTCTCCCTACCTAGCCAGTCCTGAAGGTTGCTTTTGTGTTGACTGATAATGGCAGCGATTTCCCCAGCGCTCAACAGGTCCCTCGTTCCCTTCTGTGGCCCAAGCTGAGTCTCCCGAAACCTCGACCCCTTAGCCCGAGGCCTATGTTCTCTGACCTTCCCTCCCAAGCCTCTGCTTTCTCTCTATAAACTCATGTCCCACCTCCTTTTTTGTTGTTGTTCGAAAAACCCTTGAGGTCAGAAAGGGAGAAGAATGATAGCTTCCAGGGCTGATCTCCTTGCAGGCCAGTGCTGACTGCTTTACTGTCTGTGGCTTAATTCTCACAGTAGCCCTGGGAGGTGAGAGGACTGAGGGACCTAAAGCTAATTATTTGCTTTCTTTTGTGCAGTTTAATAGAAAGAGAAGGCTGACCCCATCCTCTGCCCTGCCCTTGCCATACCACTGTGGGCAGGTTTGGGGGGTTGATGGAAGCTGAAGAGTTCTGTGGCTCATTTAGGGGACTTTTGCTGGGTGCTTCTGGTTAGGGAAAAACTGCACCCTGTTTCCCTATCTTGAAGGGATTTAGGAATAACCTTTCTTCGCTTGCCTCCCAGAACTTTCCTGAGCCCCATGTCCCTCCACAGGGCCTGGTTTTGGGATGAGCAGTGCTGGGCCTGGCTTCCCCCAGACAGTGCCACCCCCCGGGGCATTTGCCAGCACTTTCCCGCAACCGCTGTTCCCCCCACAGACTTCCATGACTCTGCAGCAGAATGGTAAGGGACTCTGCCAGCAACCTCCTTACTTGCCCCCACTCCCACCCCAGGGAGTTTGGCATATACCCACAGGAGTACTGGGGAGCCAGCCATCCAAGCTAGTTCCCTTTCGGCCCAATAGGGGGAAACCAAGAAAGCACAGACCTGCCTGTGTCCTCAGATGCTAATCCTTCCCTTCTTCCTGGATTGAGGAAGGCCACTCTCTGCCATCTTGGGATTTGCCTGCCCTGCAGGGAGGCGGGCAGAGCTGAGCAACACCAGCCAAGGGGCAGGCTCCTGTCAGCTGACATCTGCTTTTGCTTTTTGCTCCCCAGGCTCTTCCTTCAATGACTTAGGATCAGCTAAGCTGGGTCAGAGGCCACTGAGCCAGCCGGTTGGGATCTCCACCAACCCCTTCATGGTGAGCACCAGGGGCCAGTGGCCAGGGGCATGGACCTCCTCCGTGGGTTGGGACATAAAATTCCAGGAAAAAGGCCCATGTAAGATCAAACTTCCACCCCTTCCTTGTGACATTCTGCCTTGTCTGCCAGGGATAAGTGGGTTAGTTCTTGCATCTCTGATCTTGGGCCTTGCCAATCCCACTGTCCCCCAAGCCTTCTACTCCCCCTTAGCCTCGTCACTTCCATCTTCCCCAGCACACTCATTTTGGGAGCATAAGGAATTTTGAGCTGCATTTTTTCAATGGCCCCCAGCCTTTCGCCCCTAATCTAACAACTTATTTTTGTTTCTTTGCAGACTGGACCCTCATCAAGCCCATTTGCTTCCAAGCCTCCTACCAACCCCTTCTTGTAGCACTGTGTCCTGGGGGGCCTCTTCCCTGCTCTCTGGGGCCCCTCTACCCCCTGGAGCTCTGGCGACCACTTGCCTGTGGCATTTCTGTGGATCTGAGACCAGAATGGGCTTTATTTTGCAGGGAGGGATCTTGGGGATGGTGAGGTGCTAATGCTTTGCTTGGGGCTTGCAGATAAAAGGGCAGCTTTGTGGGTCCGCTACCCCCCAAGGCTCCCTCTCTTCTTCCCTCCAGCCCCCACCCAGGCAGAAGTCCCAGGAGAAGGCAGGACCTGGCTAGACAAGCAATGGTGTTTTAATTCTCACATTATGATGACATAGTCCTCTTCCTCTCCTGGGTGGAGGAAGCTGTGTATACAGGTTGACCTGAGCTGCCCTGTGGGAACAGCTCTTCCCATGCCCAGCTTCCCAGCCCTGTTCACCTCGGGCAGAAGTGCAGTGCGAAAAGTAGGGTAAAGGTGAAGATGAGACGTGTTAGCGAGAGACAATGATCAGACAGGCCAGAGGCCCTTGGTGCCCTGGCTCAAGCTGGGCACCCTTGCTCCCCACCCTCACCAAGCAAGGAGGCTTCCACAGTTTTGCTTCCCAGCTCCCTCCTTCATCCTGGGCCCTCAGGATGGATCGTTACCTGCATACTTTCACACACCCAACTCCCATCAAGCACTTTAGTTAGCTGTGGTGTCATGTTTGGATACCAGTGTTTTATATTTATACATAGAGAGTTTTCTAATATAGCCTATTATATATATATATATATACACACACACATACACACACACACACTCACATACATAGAGATATATTACTCAGCCGCCATTCTTTCCAGACAGCTCTTTTACATGGGGAGCCGGATGAATCCCCATCTGTGCCTCGACCAGCAAAGCCGAGCTCCAGGGGGTGGGGGAGGGCAGCACATATCCTGTGCAGCCACATGTCCCCAGCACCCCAGAGCCCAGGCTTTTCCAGGGAAAGGTTTTGTGCAATTGGCTGTTTTTTTTTTTTCTTTTTTTCCACGTGCCTCCGCTGCCCCTGAATCTCTGCACCAAAGCTGTTGCTGGCAATGTTGGAAAAGAACTGCATTTGAAAGAAAAAGAAAATGGCTCTCCTGGTTTTGCTTTGGGCCAGCTTGGGGGGCCTCCTGTCACGCCACATGACTGATCCTGGGTGGCCTGAGCCCAGATGATGCCTCCTCCTTTGGCCAAACACAGAACTCACTGCCAGAAGGCCAGTCCCTGTGTGAACTGGAGTCATGCATTATCATGGCAGAAGTTAGGGGCCCGGGGTGGGGGGGGGGTGCGGGGAGCATTCCCACCAGGTAGTGGGTGGAAGTGCCAGCATAGAGGGAAATGGAGTAGATCACCCCCCAGTCTGGTACAATCTCAGCCCGTCAGTCCAAGTCCCCACCTGAGGATGTTGTGTCAACAGCAGTGCTGTCTGGGTTGTTTGTGTGGTGACAAGACAGCTGGCTTGGGCTAAACATTTTGCCCAACTGAGAGGCCCAGGATTCAGCCTCCCTCTTGCACTGTTGCCCAGAAACTCCTGGCCCTTTAGCTATTCATTCTTGGGATTTCTCTGGGTCATTCCACCTAATGAGAATGGGGACTGTGTTGTGACTTTTATTTACTTTGAGGATTTTTCTGGAAATAACCTCCAGCTGCTGCTATTTGTCCAGCCAGGTGTGGTCTCCCCACCTTTTCCAAGGCTCAGTACCTGGCCTGTCTTATGTCTGTGTTCCTGTATTCCCAGCTTCTGCCCTCTTTCTGTCTCCTTGAAGGATCTCCCAGGGTGGACTACCCTCCTTTCCCCCCTGAATTTGTCATGTTCTTTGTTCCCTTGTCTTTTCCACCCTTGATGATCTCTGTCCTATTTCTGTTTCCCATTTTCTGCTTAGAGCCAGGAAGGGGAGGGAAGCTGCAATATGGAGTGTAGTAGGGGGAGGAGCTTTTTTTTTTTTCCCCAGCAACCCCCCACCCCTCCCTTCCTAACTAAAAATGCTGAGACTTAAAGGACCCAAAGTTGTGTCCTCTTACTCTGTTTTGCTCACACCCCTGGGCCCAGATCCTCCCTGCAGAACTGCCTCCCAGTCACTCTATCCCACATGGACTCCAGCCAGCTCACTGGCCAGGGCTGGATGACCCCAGCTGGGTCAGCCTCAGATCTCAGGACAGAAAAATCAAGAGTTCCCTGGGCATAGGCCTAGTCTAGGACTGCAGCTGCCTCTCTTGGCAAGGAACAGCCACAGAGCCGCCGCCATCAGGCCTCCTCTCTCCAGGCCAGTGGCAAAGAATGGAAAAATCCCTGGCCTGACAGAAAATGTCTAAATGACTTGGTTCCTCCTGCCCCACCCTGCCTGGTCGTTGCAAATCTCAACCCCACTGCAAGCACTCTAGGTTTCAAACCAGGTCCGTGTGTCCCCCTCACCAATGCTGTGACCGTGCTCTGCAGACAACAGTCCTTGGCTTGGCCCCAACCTTCAGCAGGTCATCAGCAGTTGCCCCTATGGGTGAGGAAGCAGGAAACAATTCCCAGGACTTATATGCAAAGCTTAGGCCACATTGGAAACATGGGATTCCACTGAGGGAGGGTTGAAAGACTAAATATTCCTCCCTACATCCTCCTACCCCCCCCCCATCCCCACTACGCAGAGAAGTAAATGCTCAGGACAGGACACCCAGGAACACCCAGGTGGGGAGAGGGCATAGCACCCCAGCCTCCCATGGGTTCCTCTCCTGGTGTCAAGATTCTCCTATGAGTACATAGAATATGAAGAACCTGTCCCACATGCACATGGCATGGGGATGCCCAGGTGCACCCCTCTGGTTGGGGAAAGTGTTGTTACCCAGAAGGGCTGAGGTTCTGCCACTTCCTGTTCCTAGGGAGCAACTTGTGTTACTAGGGTAACGGACTAAAATAAATCTTATCTGGGTAAGGTCAAGGGCAGTGTTGTTGCTAGGGCAACTGATTAGGCCAGTTGTTTGGCTCCAGGCTTTTCCTGGTACCCAGCAGCTAAATCACCTGGCATTGATTACCCACCCACTCTCCCACACTTACGTCCCCAGAACCCAAACATTCGGTTCCTTGCATCTTCCTGCTGGAAATGGAGAAGCCTGCCCTCCCTGCTCAGGCTGCGCTGGCTCTCTGAGAACCAGGTTCCCTTGCTTCAGTTCTCTTATATCTCATTCCTCACCTGACTAGGCTCTTCCTCAAATACCGTCATTAATAGGGCCCCACACGGCCCTCTGCCCCTCTCCCACGTTCAGCTTCCCCCTTTAAGCACCTTCCTTGCCATCAGATTGGTATCACTGCATGGAGAGGTCCTCTAAAGCCCCAAGCCAGTGTCTGGCACCTGCCCCCACCCTCCCAGCAGTTACATCTAACGGGTTCAGAAATGGGGTATAAAAAGTTTGAAGGCCAATGGGCCTCCCAGGTGGCGCAGCGGTTGAGCGCTGGGTTGCGAAGCTGCCCGCGGCCTCTGCGGCGCCGGCTCGATCCCCGGCTGCTCCCGGCCACTGGAGGAGGGTCCCACATGGCGCGCAGACCTCTCCTGCCGCCCGCTGCTCCCCTCAGCAGTGTACTTCGGTCCTTCTGCCTGCTCTGCTCCCCGCTCTGGCTCTGGTGAATTCTCTCACCCTCCCGCGCTTCTGACTGTACCCAGGGCTTGTATAAATAAATAAATAAATATTTAAAAAGGGAAAAAAAAAAGTTTGAAGGCCAAGCCCAACTCCAATCTCTCAGATAGCATGGAACAGGGGGAACCTGCACCAGAGTCTGCACTTCCACGGTCAGAGGCTTCAGCTGGCCCCTGGTGACATTTCTGGACACAGGTGGGGGGAGGGGGGCACAAGAGGAAAGCGCCCCTGGAGAGTCTCTTCCTCCCCAGGGTCTGTCAGCAGCGGCCTAACTGGGATTCTGGAGGGTATGGTCTGTGCACCCGTGACCATTCCAAAACTTCACTTCCCCCAAGTCACCTGTCACCCCCAAACCACAAGCTGCACCTCCGGCTCCTCTGAAATCAGCACAGCCCAATGCTCAGCGCCATGGCTCCTAGCATTAGGTGGGAAAGAAGTTCACAGACTCTCTCCTGGGTGGGAAAGGGGACACAGACGCTGGACGCCGGGAGCCGGGGCGGGGAGGGGCGGGAGGCGGAAGGGGGTGCTGTTGGAAGGGTGGCCGGCCTGCGTGCCGCACCCCCTGATCGCCAGGACTGCGGAGGGCTCCGCCGTCGGCGCGATCAAAATTTCATTTGCATTCTCCTCACGGGGCGTTTTCCCCGCAGTAGGCTCAAATCAGGAGCGACCCCCACACACACACCCCGCCCCTGCAAGCAGCTCAGCCCGGAGGACGGGGGGGGGGGGGGGGGAGTCTGCCGCCCCTAGACTCGCCAGCTCTTCACTCCGTCCCCACGGCCTGGCGGCCGGCGCCCGGGGCGCGCGAGGGTTAACCTCGCGGGGGTGGGGACTCCGGGGCGGTCAGCGGAGGGAGGGGAGAGGCGAGGGGAGGCGGGGGAGCCGGTCCGGGTCGAGCCTCCGAGGCTTTGGGAGTCCCGGGTGTCGCGGGCCTCGGGCAGCCACCGGGGCACACGCCGTGCGCAGCGAGAGGCCCCGCGCCCAAACTTCACCTCGGGAGCAGGGAGCGACTCGGGCTGGAGACGGGGCGCAGCCTGTCAGGCCACTGCCTCTTCCCGGGGACCGCACCGCCACCGCACCTCGGGGGCCTCGCCCCAGCCCTCCCCCCTCCCCCCGCCCGGCCACTCCACCGCCCGCCGTCGGGAATGAAGCCCGGAGGCGGCGGCCCCGCGGCGCGCCCGGAGTCCCAGCCGGCCGCGCCCCCGGGGCCGCCGCTGCCCGGGGCCGGCCCGGCCGACGTGCGGCTCTGCGGCCACCTGCGGAAGCAGAAGTCCCGGCGCCGGCGCTTCTTCGTGCTCCGCGCCGACCCGCCGCGCCTGGAGTGCTACGCGAGCGAGAAGAAGTTCCGCGGCGGCGGCGCGCGGCCCGAGCTCAGCGTGAGCCTGGCGGGCGCGTGCACCATCAGCAAGCGCGTGGACGCGCGCCGCCGCCGGCTCATCGTCCTCTACACGCGCGACCGCAGCCTGGGCGTGGCGGCGGCCAGCGAGGCGGAGCAGCAGGCGTGGTACAGCGCCCTGCTGGAGGTGCGCGCCGCCGCGGGTGAGGCCCAGCCCCGGGCGGGCGGGCGGGCGCCGGGCTGGGGGCGCGGGCGCGGGTTTGGCTCACAGCCTGCCCCTAAGTCACCGAAACCCGGAGAAACTCGAAGCGCTCCCACGTCCTCGGGCGCGCGCGCGCCGACCTCCCGCCCAGGCCTCCCCGTGCCCAACCCGCTGTCTCCCCAGGGCCCAGCTCGCACGAGGACCCCGGGACCTGGCTCCTCGCGCCGCTCCAGGACGTCTGGCCCGTGACGCTGCGGCCCAAGGGGCTGGGGCGCGCGCGAGGCTTGGGCAGCGGCGGCTACCGCCTGTGCCTGGGCTCGGGGATACTGAGCCTGCTGCGGGAGCCCCGGCGCAGAGAGGCCGAGGACGCCCAGGCGTCGCCGCCGCCGGCCCTGCGCCTGTCTCTGCTCAGCGTGCGCCGCTGCGGACACGCGGACTCTTTCTTCTTCCTGGAGCTCGGCCGCTCCGCGCCCACGGGGCCCGGGGAGTTGTGGCTGCAGGCGCCCGACGCCGTAGTGGCCCAGAGCATACACGAAACCGTCCTAGCCGCCATGAAGCGACTCGGGGACGGTGCTGCCGGTGGCAGGGCTGAGCCGAGGGATCCCCCCTCGGGCGCCTCCAGGCCGTCGGTTCCCCCACCTTATGAGACCCTGATCGCTGGTGGGTCTAACGGCCTGGCGCGCGGGGAGTGCCTGGGCGAGAGGAGCAAGCCAGCGACTCCGCGGCCCGGGTCGACCCTGGGTGCGGCAGCCTCCTACCCCGAGGGGCTAGAGCGGGGCGGGGGCTACATAGGCATGGGAGCCGGGAGTGACTACGAGCCCATGGGGGCCGGGGAAGCGGGCGGCTACATGGTGATGGCGCCCCCAGGCCTTCGACAGGCGGCCGCCAACGCCTTGCCCCATCAGCCACTCCAGGAGTTGGGGGGCACCGAATACGTGCCCATGAGCCACTTCCCGTCAGGGTCCTTTTCCTCGAGCTCCCTGCCGCGATCCTACAAGCCCGGAGCTGGCGAGCCGGGCCCCCGTCGCGGTGTCGGGGGCAACTGGGGACCGGCGGGGACTCAGCCCTGCCTGCAACTGCCGTCCGAGCTGGCGGGGGAGTACGTGTGTATCGAGTACACAGCCCCGAAATACGTAGGAACGGGAACTGCTAAGCCGGCGCCCCTCGACGGCCGCCTCAACTACATCGACCTGGAGCTGGTGCCGCCTCTAGAGGCACGAGGCGACGCCCCTGGAGGCAGCACGCTCAGCTACGCACGCATCGAGTTCCAGAAGCTCCGGGAGGCGCGGGTGAGGAGACAGATGAATGCGAGGGGCATGCAAAGAAAACAGGGTGAATTTACCAAAGCCTTCGGGCTCACGCCCTCAGCTCACCATAAGTCCCCTGACCAAAGGGCTCTGAGGCCCATACACTCTGAGATCACAACCACAGGGCCCTTGAGCTGTCCCTTAGGGGTCCATTGTCCACCCTGCACCTTCCAGCTATGGCACCTGAGAAATATTCAGGGGGAGGTTCACCAAGAAGTTAGTGTTTTAAGGGGGGAAATTCTAGACCCACGCCCCCAAAAAAGAATAAAACCAACAAAGGTAAGGACTTTTCCAGCCAAAGCCCTGATCCTCTGTCTCCCCTACAGAATTCCTGCGGCTTTGATGCAGACTCTCAGGCAGGCCTTAGCCCCCATCCACACCTGCAGTGCCTGCCTTGTGATGCCAACGAATCAAAGTAACTTCACACCAGGGCTGAACTCCTAGGACCCCAGTGCAAGAAGAATGGACACACCAATCTTACTAGTGTCCCCCCAAAAGTGATGTGCCCCCTTACTCCATCAGGCCTCTCCTGATGCCAGCCACAGGCTCACACAATCCTTCCTTCTCCCTGGCTGACAGAACTGATGGCTTCCTTACTTCCTATATAGGGGGTGGTCTGAGGAGGAGGAGTGTACCGTGGACTTCCACTCCCCTCCCCCCCAATTAAAAGGTGTGTTGCTTGATCAGCCTGTAAGTCTTAGGCCCATGGACTTGCTGCTTCACTGTAGGGAGTGACCAATGAGTAAGTAGAATTTGAGGGGAGGCAGCCAAAGCAGAGGTGAAGTAAGAGACCCCATCCCCACCCCCATGCCCCACAGCTACCAACCACAAGGAGCCTATTTGCAAACTAACAGTTTTAATGTCAACAGAACCCGAACACGGGCCCACTCTGCCCCCAGGAGAGCCATGGACATGGGTGTCTGGGGACTAGGGGAGATCTGGGTCAGTGAAGTGAGAACAGTCACCACTGGAGCCCAGGGACTCAGAGACAGGGTCTGGGGAGGCAGCAGGGGGTGTGGGACCCCCTGAGGCAGCAGAGGAACTGGGTCTTGGCTCCCCCTGGCTCATCTGCAGAAGGCCAGTGAGGGCAATCAGCTCAGGCCCACTGAGCCAGGCAGTGGAGCAGCCAGCAGTCGGTGTGGGGAGGACCCGGGGGGACATGATAGGGGGTGGGAGCAGCAGCTTCAGAGAGCCCATCACCTGAGGAGAGAGGAGGCAGAAGTGGCTCCTCCCAACCCCAGCTCGGAGGCAGGGCTGAGGCAAGGCAGAATGAGTGCTCACCTGCTGAGGGGCCTCAGACAGGTACAGGGGAACACGCTGCTGCCCACGGGGCAGCAGAGGGTCTGAAAGAAAGACATCTTCACAGCACATCACAGGGAACCCTGGAGAGGAGAGGTTGCTAGGGTGGTTGGCTGGAGGTCCCTCACTCCACCACCCAAGGGAACGGTGGGAAGTACCTGCATCCCTGGGCACCTGCTCTCTATTCTGATGTCCTGTGGTGGGGGCCCGGGGCCCAAGGCCCCTTCCTGAGGCGGCTTCATAGAGAGGCCAGAATGAGGGATGACACAAGGTCCGGCCTGAGAAAGAGGCACCAGAAGAACAGCCAGGTCCCTGTGGAGAGGACAGGACAGGAGAGACCACTGTTGCCTCAATCCCCTCCCAAGGAATCCCTGCCCCCCAAGAAGCCAGAATCATAGGTACCCCCAACTCACCCACACCAGCTGAGCTCCTGCTTTAGCCTCATAGTTGGGGTCCCAGGGTGCCAGCAGGGTCATCCCTGAAGGGGCCACCTCCCAAGACATCTGGGAGGAGAGGGGAACTGGGGGATGGGGGGAGGCAAACCTTAGAGATCAAAACAGGCGTGGGGGGTGGGGGAGCCTCCCTGGTGGCACAAGGGGTTAAGATGCAACCTATGAAGTTATCCCCAGTCACTGCAGCATGAGTTCGATCCCTGGCCAGCCCACAAGGCGCAGCAGACCTCTCCTGACTTGCGGGCTGCTCCCCTCAGCAGTGTCTTTCAGTAGCTCCGCCTGTTCTGTTCCCTGCTCTGTCTCTGGTGAATCCTCTCACCCTCACCCCCACACACATACCTCTGGCCTGTACCCCAGTTCTTGTATGCATAAATAAGTAAATCTTAAAAAAAATTAAACAGACCCAGGAATCTTGTCTGGGGCAGGGTGGGGGTGAAGGAGGGGTGGGGGTGGAAAGGCAGCAAAGTCTGTACCTACCTGGGGTTCCCCGGGACTGCTGGGCAGCCAGGCCTGGGAGGTGCCGGGGCAACAGCTCTCTCTGGGTCCGGGAAGAGTTTCTGGCCCTGGGCTGCGGGCTGTGAAGGGGGCAGCACTGAGAAGCTCCAGTTAGCGCCTCCTGCTCCAAGTCTGAGCATTCACGAGGGCCCCAGGTGCCCAGGCTGCTCGTGCCCTTTCTTCACGGCAACGGATTCTCTCACATCGTGGCTCCGCCACTGGATTTCCCCCAAGTGCCTGGGACCGAGCCCCTTACCTGTCCTGTGGGGGTGTTCTTGGCTCCCCCGCGGCTTCCTCTCCAGAGTTCCAGGTCTCCTCTGGGTCACTGCCCGCCGAGGAGCTTGGGTCCTCGGGCATCTGCTCCTCTCCCGAGCCCCACCGCCCCGGGGGCCAGGGCAACATGCCGCGTCTGGGGGAGGCCAGGGCAGGGCAGCACCTCTGTGCCCGCGCCCACGCTGCGCGAACTCCCGCCTCACTCGCCGAGCCCCTCCCTGGCCCCCACTCGCCCGCCTCCCTTGGCAGTGCGGCGCTGCCCTGGCGGTCCCCACTAGCCCAAGTCGCCAGCCCACCTCTCAGGGCCTCGCCTTGACGCCGTCGCGTTTCCGGCCCACGTGGCGCGCACTCCCGCGGGGGTCCCGCGGGCGCCCCCTGGTGGCGGGGCGGCGGGGCGGCGGAGCGGGCGCGCGCGCGGAAGAGGATTGCTGAAGCCGAGAGGTGTAGGGGCTCCGTACCCACGACGCACCGCTCTCAGCAGCAGACAAACACACACACCTGAGGGGCACCCTAGAGGGCTTCCAGCGTCTTTATTGCACTGACACAATACCCAGTGCCCTGTCTGGGGCAGGCCTGCTTCCAACCCCTCAGGTCGAAGGATATCCAGGAAAAAGGGCCAGGCCCAAGGCCGCCCTCACCAGTCCTTGCTAGAGAGCAGAGCCCAGGCGTTTGTCTTCTCTGATCCTGGGGTCCCGGCTGGGTAGGGCCCTACGCCCCTACCTCAGCCCCTAAGGCCTTTCCAGCAGTGCATGAACAGCAGCAGCGATGTAGGGGAGGCCCCTTCCTGGGGCCCCCTCCTCTTCCAGGATGTGGTGGGGCTGGCACAGGGACTCCTGGGGGGAGGGGCCCAGGGTAAGTTCCCCGGTCGCCTCCATGCAGTTCCCAGCCCTCCCCAGAGGGCAGGGTAAGAGACACCCTAAAGGAGCCTGGGCAAAGGAGGCTGACAGGTTGAACCTTCAAAGTGTTGGAGGTCAAGGTGGGGCCATCCTAAATACTAGGCCCACAGCTTGGGGACAAATAAAGTACAAAAAAGCTGCCAGCAGGTAACAGAAGGTAAATTACACAAGAACAAAGGCTGGGGAGAGTGGAAAAGGGTTAAGACCTGTCATTTCCAGAGGGAAATGCTGGAGTAGGCAGACTGGCACATAGAGCCCAGGAGGCTTGGCCAGGACTGGGCCCTGCTGCAGCAGGAGCAGACGCAAACACACACACACACACAGAGACAGCAATGGTCTGTACAGTTTATACAAGAGACAGGGACCCAGCCTGGGTGCCTGCATCTCTACAAATATAAAGTTCTCTCTACAAAATATAGATAATTTAGCCCCCTGTATCAGCAGGGGGGAGGGCACAAGGAGAAGGTTAAAATCCCCCCCTCTGGGGGAGCAGAGGCAGGGTTGGAGGGCACAAAGGCACCGTCAGCACTGAGGAGAGGAGCATGGGGCTAGGCTACAGGAGGGTAGCCAGAGGCTGGGAGCCCAGGATCTGCGGGCACCAAAGTGGGGCCTCTGAGGTCAGTATTTGTGAGGGGAGGGAGTTCACTAGTGTCTTTGGTAGGGGCTGAAGGCACCACTGGTGGAGGACAGGGTTTGCACAGGAGTCATAAATAGAAACAGGGTGAGGGCAAGGGTGCAGGAGGAGGGATGACTTCAGGTCCTAGGAACCCAGGAGCCAAGTGTAGACGACATAGAGCAGCAGCATGAGGACCACGTAGAAGAAGATGAAGCCGCCTAGACCAGAGGGGAGCCAGAGGGGTGGGGGAGTCCTGTCCCCCACCCGCTTCACAGCCTCCAGTGTGGTCCACAGCCCCTGGGCGGTGCCCTCGAGGAGATCTGAGGGCGAGCACAGGTCAGCCTGGGAAGGGAGAGTGGGACAGATGGACAAGGACAAAGGACAGAGTCAGCAGCAGCAAGACAATCCTCTCCACCCCCTGCCCACAAGAGCCAGGGCCAGAGCCATGCAATATGCAGAGTGCAGGGAAGGGGGACAGAGCATGCAGGGAAGGGCTGGCAGACATTATCCCTCTGGGGAGCAGACACCCCACGAGTGGAACCCTGCCATCCATGCAGAATGCTCAGCTGAGCCCAGGACTCTTCCCACTTTATAGGAGACACCAGTCCTGGGCTCCTGAGAACATAGCCCCCCATACCTCAGGCACCCCCATTTTTCGACAGGCTTCTAAAAAACTCTCCACATTCTTCCGAGACTTGGGGGCACTGAGTTTTGGCTGGGGTGGGTAAGAAGGGAAAAAAAGAAGAGAGTAAGAGAGAGACTGTAGGAGTCCCCTATCCCATTCCCTCCTTTCTGCCCTGGGGCCCAACTGACCACAGCAGGTGAGGGCACGTGAATGAAGGGCACAGAGCGGGGCCGCAGCTGGTTGGCCAACTGGCAGAGGATGACCCCATTGGCTAGAGCCTCTGTCAGGTCCTCAGGCAGGGGTTGCTGCAGCCTCGACTCAAGGGCCTGAGAAGCAGGGGAAAGGGGGAAGAGCAGGTCAGGGTCAGCAGGGAACGCCCTTTTGTCCTCAGCAGAAGTTCCAGGGTAGACAAAGAGGGTGCCGAGGGGCACCCTCAGCCGAGCCCCAGTCCACAGACACAGCTCTGCCTCTGTTACCTGGCGCAGCTGAGTCATCAGCTCCTTCTCATCCAGAAGCTGCGGGGACCGCCGAGGTCTTAGGACAGGGTCTGGTGAGGAAGGGCCTAGAGAAAAAGGAGGACACAAGTTTGTAGCTGGATCACAGTGTCTGGCACCCACATCTCCTGCCTATCTGCTTGTGGGATTTTCAACACAAAGGGACAACAGATCCAGAGAACCCCAGGCCAGAGGAGTAGATGCAGCCCAGGGGCCAATTTAGAGTCAGCACTAAGGGGTTGCAGTACCAACCTGAGCCACTCTGAGAGGAAGAACGAAAGAGGAAGCTGTTTGGTCTCTGAATGGAGCCCAGCGGCCGGGGAGCAGGCGCTGTTGCTAAGGGCCAAAGGTAGGGGATAGAGCAGGTGAGAGACACCCCGTCAGTGCCCCACTCATCCCTCAGGCCACCAGGCCCCAACTACCCCTCACCTTCCCAAAGCCCCTGACTCACCTGGCCCAGATATAGGAAGGGGCTCCTGAGAGGTGGGGGCAGGGGCAGATGCAGAGGCAGGGGCAGGGGCAGAGGCAGGGGCTCCCTGCCCCCCTGAAGATCCCAGTGGAGTGGAACTAGGCTTCGGCGTGCCACTGAGGAAAGACAGAAAGGGAATTAGAAGGGGAGGTCAGTGGAAGGATGTGGAGGGGGAGGGCACAGGTAAGTCTTGGGGACACATACTTGTAGGTGGACTGAGCAGATGAGGCAGCAGCAACCCCACCAGCAGCCCTGATCCCCAGCTTCAGAAAACTAGAAAGTGAAGGAGATGTGGGGTGAGCTGTGCCAGGCAGTGGCCAGAGTAGCTCAAGGAGGCTCATTTCCAGCCATCTCCAAGGCCCTCTGCCCTGAACCTGTGCCCACACCTGTCTTTCCTGGGGACCCCCCACACTCCACTCTGCTGTTGCTGCTGCTGTCTCCGCTCCCGCTCCTGCCACAACTGCAAGGTGTCAGGGCGACGCCGCTCCTCTCCTGCTGGTTCCTCCCTCCTGAGGGACAAAGGCAGGATGAGAGGTAGAGCTGGGTATGGGGAGAAGGGATAAAGGGAAGAGATAGCAGCTTAGGTGGATTTTGGGGTACCTGCTGTTTGGGGCCTTCTCCCCATCCCCTGCCGCAGGTTTTAATTCTGGTGGCCGCTGCTCCTGAAAGAAAAGAGCAGAGGGGCTCAGGGGGTGCCTGTCCCCCAAGCCAGCACTAGTTCCCTCCCTCCAGCTCTCTTGTCTCCTGGTTCCTCACCTCGGCAGCACTTCGCTCTTCGTCCTCCCCCGGGACGTGGCTGTCAATGAAGTCAATCTGCTCAGGGTCTCCATCAGCTGCAGAGGCCGGGGCACGTCAGCAAGCAGATGGGGTCTTCAGGCAGTCATCCAGCCCACTCTTCCCAGCCCCTGGGCCCATTACTCACCAGAGCCATCCTCCCTCCGCTCCCTGGGCCCCCGTGGTTCTCGGGCCAGCTCCGAGATCCGGAAGGACAACTCAGAAAATTCATCTGTTGACTGTAAATGCAAAAATGCAGAGATGGAACACAGCCTTTCTATAGTGCTGGGGGCTCACTGAGGTGACTGCTAAGCCAGTCATTCAGCATACTTGGGTGAGGGAAGGAAGAAGAGAATTTTGGCTACATATGTCACTCTGAAATTTAGAGGAACCAGGCAAAGGGACCCGGCTCAGAGGTTGTCCCCCAGGAAAAAGACTCCAACATCCCTTACCTCATTTCCAGACCATCGCTTGCTGCCACTGTCAACACTGTGGAAACCAGAGTCCAGCCCACCATCGTACCGACGTCCCGGAAATAAGTCCTCTGCTGGGCTGGGGTTGGCCAGGGAGAGCTGGTCAGTCCTTATTGAACAGCAAACCCCTTCTCCCCACAGAAACCCCAGGTCCCTGGCCCAGGAGGCAGCATTAGAGCATCCTTCCTTCCCACTTGGGACTTACCAGGGACTGAAACTTGTGGGGCGAGAAGGGGCCATGTCTCCCAGTGCAGACCCCCCACGCCGCCCAGCCTCTGTTGACAAGTACTTGAAGATGTGAAGTTTCCCCTTCAGGCAGATCTGGATGTGAGGAGGAGCATGTGGGGGAGGGAAAGGAGAAGTTATGGGAGAGCAGCTCCCTAGGTCCTGCTTGGCTACCCACAGGACCCATCCCACTCCTGCCCCATCTCCGCCTGTTCCCAGGCCCACCCCTCACCTGGGCAGGTGGGCTCTGCAGGGGGTTGCTATCCAGCAGAATGACCTGCAGGTGTCGGAGGCGGCAGAAGGAGACCGGGATGCGGGAGACACGGTTACAGGAGAAATCCAGGCGGACCAGAGGAAGGTCCCCCAGCTCTGAGGGTGGGTGAGTGAAGTCAGGAGCATGCCCAAAGGAGGGGCCTCGTGCTTACTACTCTGCCCTCTGCTCTGGCCAGCCAGCCACCCCTGCGCCCACCACCACCTCTGCCAGGGCTGCTGAGGACACCCCAGAAATGACTGCCCCGCTCCTCTTCCAGTATAAACCTGGGCCCCTTCAGGCTTCTCCTTCCCCACCAGGGCTCTCCTTTTCTCCACCCCGCCCACTCACACTTCAACACACCCTTCATTCTTAGGTGATCATCACAAGACCCAAACAAAACTGTGACACCACATTGCTCAAAACCCTTCCCTGACTTACAGCAGGGGCTGCTGGTGAGGGTCATCCTGCACAAAGGCACCTAAGGGAGGTAGGGGG